GGAGGTTTGACTGGATGATGTGTTGAGGTTCCTTCCAACCTGAATTATCCCATGACTCTGTGATCTTCCCTCCCCATCAATAAAAATTCCTTCCCCGGGTTTATGAGCAGCACTAGAAGCTGCCCATCATTCTCCTCAGAAATGTGGCACCATTCATCCAGACACCCAAGAAAACCTTCTTTGTTGAGGAATCTCTTAATGGGCTGAGGTTAAGATGATTATGCATCTGCATGGGCGCTCACGCAGTTGGTAGCAATGCCAGCCTCTTCCCTTGTACAAGATACCTACTTTGCCCTTCTGGGCATCTTCCCTCTTTCTAGAGGTCCTTTGCTCCATGCACTTGCCAAGAAAACAGTTCCCCTCTCCATTTTGTTCTGGTTCTTTTTTTCACTTCTCCCCACTATAGAGGATGTTTACATGGATGCCTCCTTCATGTCATCTGTTTGAAATACGCTCCCTGAACTTGATGTGGGGGAGGGAGCATGCTATTGCTGTGGGTGCCTCTGGGTGTTTACTGTTATTACCCCGGAGATCTGCAAAATCACTGTGTGAAACACTAAGCTAGGCCGCTTGCTAAAACTGACCCATTTTAGAGGAAAAGATGCGTGGTGTTCTCTGTTCAAACCCCAGGGCAATACAAGTGATCCTGGCAAAAGGGGTGTGGTGGGTAACTGCCTGAGAGCTCCTGAAGGGAGTTTAGCTTGGGAGCATTGGCTGTTGATGAAGCCATCAGCAGGAGGTGCTATGGGAAAAACCATGGGCGTTTGAATAAGGGTACTTGTGGTAAGAGCCATTATTCCTGCAGCGAGCGTGGCTGACAGCAGTTTTAGGTGCTCCAGGCAGTGTGCGATTCGCATAAGGCCAAATGGTAGTTCTGCCTCTATGCCAGTTGCTTTTTCTTCAGCAATTTCAGTGTTCTCTCCAAAAGCGTCTTAAATCCTTTTGTGTGAACAGACAGTGAGCACATCCTTAATAGTGCAGAGCGAAATTTGTGTGCAAATCCCCAACGTACAGCAGTAAATAAAGACCAGACATAAAGGACACATGGCAAAGCCCTTGACCTCCCCTTGTAGCGGGGAATATCCCTTCTGCTGCCCACCTGGCAGGCTCTGTGTTGTCAGGATGCCGGCTGCCTTTGAGTGTGCGGGCCCATGGTCCAGTCATGCCTGACAGATTTCTGTAGGTGCACTTAAATCTTTGTGTAGCTCCTTTGCCTGGCATGGCATTTAACCTTCTGTTAGCAGTACGTGGTGGGATGTATCTGTCAGGAGATTGGAACAGCGCTTTATGACAAGCGTGTGTCTAGCTGTGGTTATCTCAGAGGGTTGGGAGCCTTGTTCCTCACACTTATTCCCATGTATTCCATGTGAGCTGTGACAGTTTGGGAGAAGTGCCCCTGCAATCATATTCAAAGTTCCTACCCCTTGAATTAAGCTACACGCAGTGGCAAGAGGGTAGGTTGTCCTCCAGCTACTGCCCTCACAAATACCCTGGATTCTCACAGCATTTTTAAGGCCCTCTCCACCAAAAGAAAGCTGCAATGTATGGGAAATGACAAGCTGAGCTCAGTGACTGTCCTTAGGGACCAAGGTTCTTTGTGCATGTCTTTTTGCAGCTCTTCCTTCCGGTGTCAGCATCATACACATGTCAGCTAGAGAGACAGGTGACAGAACAGGAGCTGCATCTCCGCACCGCCTGACTAATTACACACGTTGCTGATCCCACCAGAATGTTATTACTGTGTGCTTTGCTCCTGTGTTGTGCCACTTTCACAAGCACTCCTATTCTATTTGCCTAATAGGACCTCGTGAGGTAGCTTTGTTAACTGTGCAAGAGCGGCTAGGGTACGTGGTTTGTGAAATTTGGGGGAGCAGTAATTAGCTGCAGGCCTGGGCCAAGATGTTGTTGAAGAGCATCAAGGAAGCAGTTTTTATAGCATACTCTCTCCTTCCCTGCTCACTTGGAGTTATTCCATCCTTAATCTTGCTGTAGCTTTCACACAGCAAAGAATGTCTCCTCTTCATCTGTGTTTTTAAGTGCTGAGAAAGTTAAAAGGACCAAGCACAAATCCACTCATCTCCACAATGATTAGCAAAGTTAGCATGCTGGCATCACAAACTTAGCATCCTGGCATCTATTCCTCTCTTTTTCCTCCCTGCTTCTGCATTCACCCACTCTCCTGTTTGTCTTTTCTCTCTTTTTCCTTGCAAGGACTCCTACTCCTCCTTTCCATCTCTCTTCTCTCACTTTCAGAGAAGGCATGAAGTTGGGGGCTGCTCCACAGCTTGGAGGTGAATGTGAGCTGTCATTTGCAGAAGCTGTTACCTTGGCGTACTGTGGAGTGTGGAAACCTGGGCCCCAGCCGTTACAAACTCTTCAGGATGGGCTTTGTAGTAGTTGTGCAGCCTGTTAGCTTTGCTGTTGTAATCACAGACTTGCATACGTATGTGTACCTTCATGCTATACACATGCACAAACAGTTACAGAATTTCCTCAACACCAGTGCAGACAGTCTCAGGAACAGAAGAGGACAAAAAAAAATTCTTCCCTACTAGTTGCAGCTGCTGAAGGGATTGAGAGTAAACTCTATTTTGCTTATGCACATGACTACTCCTGGATTGGACCCTGACAGAAACCCACATACATTCACTTAAAAACAGGAAGCTGCAGGGGAGGAAACCTTTGGGAACTTCTGAGAAGCAGAGCTTGTGATGGACACCATTCAACTTTATAAAGTCTCTTAACACCAGCTCTGCTGGCTTGTTTGTCCTTCCTGCTCTGCTTCGCAAGGGATCTGAGTTTTGATGAGGCTGTGGAGACTTGCTGTTCTTTCCACAGCTGGCTAGACATGGTGCCTGCAAACCTGATTCCTGCAGAGCCTGAAGAAAAGGAAAGAAAGTGGTTTTGGGAAGCATTTTCCGGTTACTGTTGACTCCAGCTGCTGTCATTTTTTGGTATAACTTAGGCAGAAAGGAAGCTAGTTGGCACAGGCACCCCAGCTCCCAGTTGGTATAGTTTCTCCAAGCTCCACGCTCCCAGGAAGGGTATACATATTTTTTATTATTATTATTATTGCTTCCTGTATACAGATTATACTTTTCTTCCACTTCTTTAGTAGCCTGAGACAGAGATTCTCATGCTGCAGAGGATTGTCCTATGCTGTCAGCAGCTGAGTGGGCTGAGAGTAGAGGGGAGCCTTGCTGCAAATGTCTGCCTGCCTCGCCTCGGCTGCTGGGAGGCACAGGCTGGATTTCAAGCAGGAGCCAGACTGGCTTGGTTCTTTGCTCTATTAAAACTGATAGAGCGAGTTCAGTGGCGGTTACCCTTTGTGAGTCGTTAGTAAATGCAACATGATCCCATAAAAACCAATGCTTGGTCCAGTTAAATGTAATGGAACAAAATTTACTGTGCCCTGATACGTTGCTTGCTGCATACTGGCCAGTGCTATCTTCTGATGATTACTGGAACATTGTACTCTCCGGAACATTGAGGAAACCTGACGATTAGGTTCGTAAGGTCTGTGGTACTTGCTACCAGAGTATAATTCAGGCTGCTATGGACAGACCTTCAGAACTTCTTTTTCTAGTGATTCCGTGTTGATTTCTTTTTATTAAGTGTTCATACATTTCTCTTAACAATTCTGGCCTGAAATTTTCCTCACATATTTCCTACTCCAAGAGGACATCTGGTGTGGGCATGTATAAAGTTCTAGCAAGATCCCTGCTGTTTTGTTGTTTTTTGTAATTGTTGGCTTTAGATCAGCAGAAGGTAAACAAAAATCAGTTCTAGATGCTCAGCAGAAAGCATCAAGTCCCACAGGAGCACATCTTAAAGAGAAACTGGCCCCGCTGAAATGTTACCTTGCCACCTGAAAAATTCTCGACAGTCTTTCTTCAAACTTGGCTTGTTTTGCTTTTCTTGTAGTGACCTGAAAATCAGGCAACATTGAAAGCAGATTAGTTCTGTAGCTTACGAATAATGTCAGAGTGATTTTAACTCAGATGACTTTTTAAGGAGGGTACATAGGGATACATTAGAGTAGGGAAGATGGTGTATTACCTGCACTGTTATGGAGTCCAACACACATATCTAAGTGTGTGTTTACTGTCTATAAGCCTGCCATTTTTTAATAACATTGTTAAGCTATTAATATTTTCATAGTAAAACTTTCAGATCAGAATAAATTAAATCAACAGACAGAGCATGTTAGTGAGGCTCCTCCATGTATTAAAATTGTCTTTGGCTGTGAAATAGCAGTTAATTAAGACACAGGTCCGTAGACATTTGTGGAAATAACTTGTTGATGTAATTTCACAAAATGCATAATGCCAGCGTACCTGTTGGGGAGGGGGCAGCTGTAAGCGTTCATAAACCCAATGAAAAGGACAGGGGTAAGTTTCAGGAGTGCTGGATTTTGATCCTGATTCTGCTTAAAACTAGTGTTACTCAAGCTGCTTCATCTCTCTGTTCTTGATTCTTTCACCCTGAAGTGAGCATAGTTGACTGCTTATGGACCAGCCAGCATCCATGAGCTGCGCCGCATATCACCAGAGAAGCGCGAAAAATTACTCCTCCTCTTCACTTCAGCAGCATCCTCATTGTGGCTTTCTGTATTTAATACATAGCGCATCAGTACATGCTCACGCCCTCCTTCTCCTCTAAATTATTAAACAACTGTGCACACCCTGCGGGGAAAAAGACCGGCAGCAACACCCGCTTCATCTTCCTTTATCATCTGCATTTCCAGCGCAGCTAATTATCTAAACACAGAGCTGCCACCTTCTAGAGCAACAAGGAGACGGCGAGCACCGGTGTCTCCCTTCGCTGTAGCTGGTGACCCTGGCTTTTTCTGTATGACCATGTGTGTGTCAGCTCATGCGCCCAGGTTGGTTCGAGGTGTGTCCCCCAGCACAGAGTGTGTCCTCCGGTAGGATTTATTATAAATGAATGCTGAAGTGCTCTTCTCTTCTCTCCCTGCCTCCCTCCATCCCTCCTCCCATATTCTTTCTCACCCTACCTTGTTCGGTGGCCTTGAGGTAATTCACCAGCTTTTCATTGGAGCGGGGGCTTTAAGCAACTCAGTCTAAGAGCAGGTATGAGCAAGGTGCTTGGGATGCTCTGTTAATATGGCAAGTGCAACGTGAAAACATTTGCCTGTGTAAGCGGCATGACCTTCAGCAGCACGCAGCTGCCCAGATGTGCCCTTGAAGCATCTTCAGGTTGCGTCTTGGTTCTTCTGTTCTTGCAGTTGCCTGGGCTGCTTTTAGAAAAAGAATTCACAATGCAAACCATTCCTTATTTATTTATTTGGTAACAGGTTTGGGGTGATGTTTGGGGGTGGATGGGGAGGGTGGCAGGGCATGTGTGTGCATGTCTTGTGGGGACTGAGTTGAGGCCGTGATTGCATTGTTACAGGGAACCCAGTAGTGAGGGGATGAAGGCAGTTTCACTTTCCTGGCAGGAAGGAAATCTGAGCGCTTGAATCTGTGCAATATGTGATGTTCAGAGATGCTTCCTCCACTGATCTGATTGTCAAATCTGATCACGCCTCTAGTCGCAGTTGTTTTAATTAAACTCAGAGGAATTCTGCACATTGTGCTGCAAGATTAACATTTTTGTTTAATTAGAAACACTCAGTAATAATAGTTGTACCAGGCCTCCCCCAACACACACACACGTGCGCACACGCACACTCTCACACACACCCCGCCAGTCAAGAGGGTTATTCTCTCTGTGGATTAATTGGTTCGTGAAATTAACGGACACGGGTTTGAGCCAGGTGGAGTAGCATCACCAGGGAGCAGGATAAAAGCAGTAATCAATAATGATGTCATCTGCAGCCAATGCGGCAGCAGCTCCGCGGCTCCTTAACAACACACCACCGCCTGGTTAAATAGCAGAAGGGAAGAGAAGACGTTAAAAGCCTGGCTGAAAGCTGTGCAAAGGCAAAGCAATTCCCAGGGCCCCTCTGTCCTGAGCTCACTCTTGCGAGGGGCTGGGGTTTTGCAGCACGCTTGATCTGCAAGAGCACGCACTGTTTGGATGCCTAATGCCCAAGCACAGCCTGGTGAACAGAGGACTCAAAGGTTCGGTTCAGTCCCTAGTTAAAGATGTTTATGTTTCTAATTTAGAATACAATATCCTGGTGTAGAGGTGCTTCAGATGCACCGAAATGACTGTGCCTTTATACAACTGTACATTTCTCCGTACTAGGAGATCTGTATTACTTTAGCAGTTACAAAATGGTACGTGTTTTTGTTTGTGGTCAAATTCCTTTGATACATGAGAGGTGTGGTATTCCACTCTCCAGTGAGTCACAATAGATCCTTTGTAACTCTCAAGCAATGGTCAGGGGAAGGAAACAATGCACATTTTTAAACACACGATCGAGACATTTAAAGCCCTTTTCTTCTCTGCAATAGCTGTGCACTACTAATAACAGTGTTGGACAAGAGTTTCTTGGCCTCAGGTGTCAGAGCACCACACAAACCTTTATCTCTGCCTTTGTGATTTCATAGATTTTTAGAAGTTGGCTGTGATGCACAACAGTGTGGAATAACTCTTACCCAGGTCGTGTGTGTTTGGAGCTCAAGTAGAGCAATACTGGGACCTGGTCATTCTGCTTTGCTCTTACAGGAAAAGGCACCCACCATAGCAAGGCCACTGGGTTTCTCTCTTGTTCCACCATCTCTGGGTTCAGCCATTTGTAGTTTGGCTCCCTTCCTTCTGATACGTAATGTGCCCGCAGTAGGAAATGAGCTCGTGTTGTGTTTGCGGTTGGCAGGGATGTCTCGCAACCGAGGCAAGGGTTTCCAACCCATCTCTGCTGCTGCTGTCAGAGCTCCCGTTGGTTTCAGTGGGGGGCTGATTCTGATGTATGTTGCTTTTTTAAACAATCCCACCTTTTTAAAATCCCCTATGTTATTTCCCTTCTGTTCCCTCACCTGCTTTTGGGATGGATTCAATGCCATAGATTCCCGAGGCTGTGATTCCTCAACACGCCTCATTTGAAATGATGGAGAATCCCTATAAAGTCTCACCCTGGTACCAGCATCCTCCTTCCAAGCTGCCCTCCCCCAAAGACTGATTTTCTGGGGGAAAAAAATGGCATGTTCCCAAGCTATATCAGCCAGCATAAGACGGCTCTCTTCCACGTGAGACAGGAGGTCGTAACAAAGATTATGGGGGAAGCACTGGGGTTTTGTATTAGCTGTCACAAATTAGTCAGCATCGGTTAGGATTGCCCTCCTCACCCTCATTAGTGAAGGCAAAGGCAGGATTGAGAGGAAGCAGGAAGCTCGGTTGAGCCTGTCTTCTAGGTGCTGGTGCCACATCCCTCCTCTTCTAGGGCAGCAGCACTCTGAATTAATAAATCTAAAAATCACACCTTGTCTGACAGCACTTGGCTTACTGTTGTTCTGCGTGTCCCCTCTGGTAACTACAGCTGGATGATATTTTCCTCTCCTTTCTCTCCTAGCTTCCACTGTGTCTTTGACAGGCCTTTTCTCATAGTCACTTCCATTATTTCTCCCGTGCAGTTTGTCTCGTTCTCTGGGGTTTGGAGGGGGGGGGATGAACCCATCCTTTCAAATGTGACTGTATAGACTGTACTCTGCGGTGCCAGGATCTTTGCCATAGGTGTGCACAGCTTCTGCCGTAAAAACAAGTAAGTGCAAGTCACTTACCTGACCGAGGGATTCAGTGGAAGACCTGGAGAAACTTTGAAATGATTACTCCTACGCCCCAGAGGGTTTTAATAGATTGCATTTAAACGTAGAATCTTCTTGTGGGACCTTAGAATAGTCACACGAATCAGACAAGCTGGTATAATTTGTTTTCACAAACCATCTGTGGACTGTTTACTGTACCCTTGTTTTAAATTGCATTGCGCAGAGTACTGGCCAGCAAGTCTGCCTGATGCTTTCTTCGGTGTGTTCCGTTGAACAGCTCTGCCAGCTGCCATGGTCCCTAGTACCTGTTTAACCACTCTTCCTTTGTTCTCTACCACCAGAGGACCAGTTACCTCCTGGCTTCCCAAACATTGATATGGGGCCCCAGCTGAAAGTGGTGGAGCGGACACGAACAGCCACAATGCTCTGTGCAGCCAGTGGGAACCCAGACCCAGAGATCACTTGGTTTAAAGATTTCCTGCCTGTCGACCCCAGCGCGAGCAATGGGAGAATAAAACAACTGAGATCAGGTAAGGTCTCTGTGTGAACCTGGAGAAACTGAGACCTAGATGGAGATGTGAGGAGACTGGTCAGAGGTTTCTGAAGCAGAAGAGAGGGCTGATAGACACAGGCCCCACTGGTGTGGATTGGGGCATTATCTTTTCTTTGGTTTTGGGACTCACATTCTTACTCAGGGAGTGGATGGAGTATCCTCCCCTCCAACCCAGCCTCCTGGCCTTCCCTACTGCCTAGTTGACATAAAGGGAGTCACAACAGGGAACGTATCTCCCATCCAGGAGGCGATGTAACTAGTTCACCAGATTAACGGTGCTCTTGCAGCTCAGGGGAAACTGGGGACTGGGTAGGGGCTGAGGGTTTCCTCCTCGGACACAGAACATGCTAAGGAAGAAAGAACCACTACAGTAGACGTGGCTTTTTAGGCCACACACACCTGGTGTAGGGTCCGCAGCTCGGAGAGCCTCTTACTGTCGAAACATGTTGGTGTAAACTGAGCCTCTGAAAGCTGCTGTTGAAGAACAGCTCTTGCAGGATCTCGCTGGCATCAAGTCCCTGCAGTCATCGCTGGAGAGCAGTTGTGAGCATTCTGGAGCGACCCCTCGGTGCTCAGTGGCACTGCCCATGGAGTGGATCTCCATGAACAGATGTACCCCAGCTCTGTGGCTCTTGTCAGTTTTCCATCTTTCCCCATCTGCTTGTCCATCTGTCTCTCTTGTTTGTTTTATGTTTGTTGTTTTGTGTGTGTGTCAACGTGACATCTCTTAATTTTTATACTTGTTAAATCTGCCAGTTCACTGTGCGAGAATGTGTGTATGTCTGCAAGGAGGGCACAGGTGTATTTACTTTTGAATACTGCTGATAAAGCACTTCCATTGATAGCTGCAGAAATGACACAAGCTTTGGAAGTTTTGACAAAAACTAACTAGAGAAGTAATCCTTTTCAAATACTGCTTGGACTGACTGCTTTGACCCAGCCTAGAGAAAATGTGTCTGTGTGGCTGGACCTAGCAAGCAGTAGCATCACTTCAGCTACTCAAAACATTCCTTTGGCCAAGAGAGATGGAGCCTTTTCAAGAATCTTTTTTTTTTTTGGCAAAAGAATGGCATTGTTGTAGGCAAAGGGAAATAAGAGGCTTCAGTGAAGCAACCGGGGTTGCTGTGTTCATATTAGTCATTTTACGAGTCAGCCAGTGAAGTGATAGCTGCCTGCTTCTGCCCAGGTCTCCGCTCTGACTCCGAAGAAATCAGTTCTGACTACTGTAATGCTGCATCTGAACATCAGAGAATGTAACCGCCTGGTTTTTCTCTTGCTCTGTTTGGCAAAGATTCTGTATAAAGATTTTTAGTTCTGTGGGTCACCAGTGGAAAAGATTCAGTATAGTTCCAGTTCAGTGTAGCTTTTTATACACCTGCATAAATGCATCCTTATTCAGTGAAGCAAACTTACAAGCAGATACTTAAAGTACTTTGTTGAATTCGAATGGGTTGTTGAATCCCACAAACACAGATGAGATTGACCTCCCTGGTTTATCGTAACAGCTGAGGCAAATGCAAATAAAAAAAAAGTCACTTGGCATAAATAATGAGAGGTAAACTAGAATTATATCATGCTTTGTGACCGTGATCTGAAGTGTGAGTAATGTACAGGCAGATTATTTTTAATACATTCATCATCTTGCTAGAATGCCTTTATACTCTTTAACTGGGTTTGATCTGGTGTTTTCCTTAAAGCCACCTGAGTGCTGCATTTTTATTCCAGTGAATTGGTTAGCCTCAGAGTGAACTGGCCTTTCTGATAAATCAGAAGATACCTGCTGAGAATTAATCTCATTTACAGCTGCTCTGAATTAGTAAACTGGTGAAACCCTGAAGCATCCCTGTTGTCCTTAGGGGTGGAAACGTATTGCTCGTGTGAAAGGGAGTGCAGATTCGTGGACAGTCAGGACTTCTGAGTTCTCCGATTTCATCTACTTTTATGACCTTTCAAAACTTGCATGTTCTGCAATGAGAAAGCCTGTGAAAGTGCTCACGTTAGGGTCATCTGTGCTGTGTTGAAAGGGAGTGCAGATTCGTGGACAGTCAGGACTTCTGAGTTCTCCGATTTCATCTACTTTTATGACCTTTCAAAACTTGCATGTTCTGCAATGAGAAAGCCTGTGAAAGTGCAAAATGTATTCACGTTAGGGTCATCTATGCTGTGTTAGTATTTTGGTCAGTGGAAAGGAGTTGGTTTATGACCAAGGCAGAGCAGATTCAGGTGTGTATTTGTAACCTGAGTGTGATGTGCAAGGCGATGCCTGTTGGAGCGCTGATGATGCGAGTGCAGCTAAAGTCAGAACTTAATTTAATACACTTATCTTTCCAGAAAACAAACTTTGCTGCTGGAAGTGTGACACTAGCACACGTTAGGGTGTTGGATGCTTCAGGACACTGCTAATAGGCTTCAGTGTCTTTCACCCACAAGTCATCAGTATGATTCCAGCCCAGCTTCTTGGGGATTAACAGTTACACCCGACTGACGGGTGTTCGACAAGCCCTCTGTGAATAGGAGTGCGGGGAGGAGGAGTGACCCTGGTGCTAAATCACGACTTGATCGCCGCACGTTGTGCTAACAGGCTTAGCATAGAGGCCAGCGACTGTGTTGTCTCTGGAGACTTCTCTGTGCATTGCTCCCTGACGGAGCCTGGGGCAGGCTGGGAGAGCAGCAGGAGGGGACAGTCGCCCAGATCCTACCCCGGAGATGGAGTCGTCAGGATAGCAGCCATGCTGCTTTATTGTGGAGGGCGTTAGGAACTGAATTTATATCAATATATGAGTTAGTGGCAAACATGCAAATTAGCTCATTAAAAGGTACAAGTGAAATGTCATACAGAGAGCTCTGCAAAATTGGGTAGCCATGTCCAGATTTGGTTCTCATTTATATTAAAACTGAATGTTTCGCTGGCAGTATAAATGGACCTCCGAGACCATGGTCATTATATTCACATCGTCCTGGGGACCCGGTGATGTTATGGGTCTTCAGTGTAATTAAGAAACAGGTGATACGTCATTAACCATAGTGGCTTTTCTCTATCTAGTATTTCTTCTCCTTTCCATCTCCAGATAAACTTTCCAAGCAATTGGAAATCTTTTAATGCTTGGGGGTTTTGACTGAATGAAAAGCTGAATTGTCAGTCAAAGGAGAATGGGAAGAACCTCTGTCTAGGCGCCTGCTTGCCTTAAACATATGTGAACGTCTCAGCCTTGGAGACCTGGGTTGCCTAAGCGTTTCAGTGGTCTTGGTGGTGGAAGAGAACCGGCTAACCAGCTAACCAGCTAACCAGCGAACTGCCGAACCCCTGCAGGCAGTCGCAGGACCTCAGTGTCCTTTGCTCAGCAGTGCCACCTAGCGGGGATAAGGGGAGGCAGCCTGCAGCCACCTCCTTACATCATAGGAACGCTGAAACCTTTTGTGTCTTGTGTTTGTCTTCTGTTTTCTAAATAACTGGCTATAACAAATTTTTTTTTTTCTTTTTTCCCCCCCCATACTTTTTTTAACGTTCAGAGACCTTTGGTAAGTTTGTTCAATTTAAAAAAAAAAAAAAAATCAAACCAAAAAACCCCAAACCTGCTGATGTCCAGATTTGTAACCCTTGCCCTTTAAACTAATTCCTTTGTAACAGCTTCTTGAGAGGCATGCTATGCATTTCTTCTACTAACTCTTTCAGTAGGGTTATTCTGTCCTCTTAATGAATTTCTGCAGGGGTATTGCAGGCTACAAAAAGAGTAATAATCTTCCTAATTAATATATCTGTATAAAGACATAACAGCTAAATATGAACCTCCTAACATTGGATAGATTTTTTTTGTATCTTAGCAACAGTTGTCCTGGAATTCCCCAATTACACAATAGCTTGTACCCTGGAACTGTGATAATTGTGTTCACACCTGCGGGAGGTCTTGGAGTTTCACATCTAACAGGGTTATTGGCATTTTCAGAGGGGAGAGGTGGGCGTGCAGCATTTTCCAATTGAAACTGTAAATCACAGGTCATCAGCTATGGGAAAGGGCTGAGCAAAGGAAAATCCCCCCCCTCCAGATCATCTCTGTCCCTTGAGAAGCCAAGAGCCTGTCTGCAGAGCTCACGTCACATTTCCTCCGTGTGCCAAGTCCCCTTTTGTTATTAGAGATGTAGCAATTGCAGCTGTCAGCCAGGATCCGGCATTTTAAAGTTGCAGAAGACCCTTGATGATTGCTTGCTTGTTTAGAATAGAAGGCTCTCTCCAGCCCTCGGGAGAGGAGCATAGCACACACATGTTCTCACACGTGGCCTGACAGAAGGTGGGGATGTGTTTTCTGTCATTACCATGGCAATGGTGACTGTCCTCCTCTCCCTGTTTTCAAGGCTTGGAGAATCCGTAGGCAGCTTGGTGTGGGGGAAGTCAGAGGAAGGGATGGTGGAAGAACAGATCCCATTCTCCGTGCAGGTGTCCCTCTCTGTCACACAGTATTCTGCCTGGCACCATCTTGGTCCTTTAGAATCCAGAGGCAAGTCGTTTAAGCTGCCTTTTGCCTCTGCTGCTAAACACTAGGCTGGCCATCTGGGCTCAAGCAGCCTCAAAAGTTGCCCTAAATAGCCAGATCTCCAGATCCTGGGAGGCCGTGGAAGGCAATACGAAGAGTTTGCATGTGGGATCTCAAAAGCAGCTTTTCACTCGGGAAGTCAGCATCCAGTGTGAGTTCTGCCTCCTTTAGTTTTCCTGCAAAGCTTGTAAGTGCCCTTGCTCTGCCCTGGGCAGTGGTTAGCCTCGTGCATTTGCTCACGCACTGTTTAGGGCACCAGGCAAGCCGGCTGTTGGACGCAGGTGCCTCCCTCCACCACCACAACCCCGTATCAAATCTTACAGGACCTGTCAAGAGTTCTTCAGAACAATGAATCCATTTCATACTCTCTTCTAGCATCATCCTGCTGTCCCTGTATATTAACTGTGAAGCTGGTTAGATGTGAAACTCCAATAGTGAAAATCTACCATCTGTGTCTCTGCCGCCATTCGAACTGCTGTTCTTTCCTTGCAAGTTACTTGATCTCATTCTGATTCAAATTCTGGCCCCTCCATCCCTAATGTGGGGCATCTTGCAAAACACATTTTGCTCCTCACCTCTGTGTCCTGTGTGCCAGAGTTAGACCTGGAAAGACCAAGGTGGCATTGCTTGGCTTCTCTTGCTCTCCAAGAGCACTGTCTCCAAGGCAGTCTGTCTCCGAGAGCTGCTGACAGCCTGTTTCCAGGGGCAATGCTGATGCTTAGAGGGAACAGGGAATAACTAACCTACAATGACACCAGAAGGTAACGACTGCTGTTGTGTCTGTGCTTACAGAGCTCTAACTTCCAGCGTGTTTCTCCTATCAATTACAGTGAACCTTTGCAGGAAATTGCCAGGCTTGGCCAAGGCCAAAGCAGCTTTATAGTGGTGGGTGATGTTGGGGTCTCGTCCCCTCCTCTACCCTCTTCCCATTAGCCTTGTTCCATATTTGTGCCACAGATGGCAGATTTTCACTCCAGTTTTGAGACAGAAGGATGTGTCAGAGGCTGGTTTTATTTCCACTGAATTGAACTATAACCCTGTGCTGCTTTCTCTCTCTCTCTCGTGTCCGCGCTTTTTAAAACCTTCCTGCCGTCTCCTGTGTGGAGATCTGCCCGAGTACACGCTCCCCCCACCTCTTTCTCTTTCAAGCGCTGTCTCTCCAACCTTTGTCCTGATAGCTAACCAGCCTGCTTTATTAACCTTAGCTAGTTCCTAACCCTAACTAGATGCTAACTTTTCTCTAGCAAATAACCTAACCTCTTAACTAGAAGCTGAGTATAACTAGAATCTAATATCCTAACACTGTAATACCTCTCTTCCCTCATCTCCTTTGAAAAAATAAAGGTGAACTGTAATCAGTATCTATGTATTTTTACCTTCTATCCTGAAAATGGAGGATTGAACCGCAGCACAAGAAGGATGAGCAGGGCTGAAGGATAAGGAGGGAAGGTGTTTTCTGGTGGTTAAGGCAGAAGATTGGCACTGAGGAGGCTTTGACTCCTGTTCTTGCCTCTGCCACAGACTTCCCTCTGTGACCTTGGGCAAGTTGCTTCACCTCTACCTCAGTTTCCCCATCTGTAAAGCAGGGGTAATAATGCTGCTGTACCTCACTGGGGGAGAGGAGAGAGTGTAAGGCTGATATTTGTCACGTAATGTGCTATACAAGCCCTGGCTGGGAGGTGCTGCAGAATGACAGCCCTGTTACCATTGCAGAGAAGCTCTTGCGTTTCTCCCTAGTAAGAGGCAATGTTTGTAATTGCGGAATCTGCCCTGTTCTCAGGATTGGGGTAAAAACCAACCAACTAAAACCCGTTCCTTGATAAGCTGTGTGACAAGTTTAAATGCCACTGTGGGAAAAAGGACCTGCCATGTTTTCAAAGGAAGATGGCTGCAACCTCAGGAGGTCAAACAGGGGGACAGGGATTTTGCCATTGACTGTGGTATGGTTCACCAGCCACAATGTCGCTTCCTCTCATCTGTGAGACCTACCTAGGCAGAAGACTTACATTAGCCACTTAGAGACAACTGGAGGGGGGTTGAATAAAAATAACCCAAGAAAGATGCAGTCAACAGGCAAGTGTAGCAGGACTCTCCTCTCTCCACAGAGCCCCCTCCTGCACTGGCATTAGGCAGGCTTCCAGAGCAGTTGCAGGAGGTAGCCCTTCCACTTGTACAGTAGCGTGGCCTTCTGGAGTGCAGAGCATCTGGCTTTGATCTCTGTGCAGAGCCACTGAAGAATAACTGAAGGTCCTGATAAGGACATGCATTGAATTCCTCGCACATCTGTGCCAATAACTAAAGTTTGGAGCTGGGAATTTGCTAGCAAAGGTGGGATCAAACCTGCAACTCTTAACGTGATGCAAGGTACCTGGATGTCCCTTTCCCGGTCTGAGCTAACACGACCCTGATGCCAGCCTTTTCCCCAGGAGCGATGAAGATAAATGCAAGTTCATCATATGTTCTGCAGGTAGCAAACAGTAATGTTAGCTGAGAGCTTGAAGATTTTATTTGCATTCTTAGCAACAAAATGGAGCCAGTCTTAAGAGTTTTCAAGCCAAGTGCCATGGAGGCTTTGTAAACAGCCAACCGAATTGGACTGCGTTAAAAAGGGCATCCCCCCCTTAAGTACCCCAAGCCCTCTGCAGTCTGTCCCTACAATTTAAGATCAGGTAGAGCAGGAAGTTTCCTACTGGGAACTGTCTTCCTTGAGTCAGGTCCTTTTCCCACGGGCAGTCCACGTGTTTGGGGTTTTACAGTCTTTTCACTTATTTTCTTTGTTTTCTTTGCAGAAGGTACACCGATCCGAGGTAAGACACCCCCAACTCACCAAACACTCACCCACTCTCCAAACACTTCTCTCCACTCAGTTCCTATTTCATTGACCTGTGCTCAATACAGATTCTTGTTGTTGTTGTTGTTATGTTTTCTTGTCCTGCTTCACCTCTGGATATTTCTTTTTTTATACCTGTCTTTATGTTATATATGGTTATAATGTCCTTTTTTGTTTGCTGGGTGCAGTTGGTAATACTGATACTGTTATTCTAATAATGTCTGAGGCTGTGCTGCCTCAGATTTATGGCAGATATTTAACAGCTAATCTCTCCAGGACTGTGAAGGACTGAAGTTGATCTTGAGCATTAAATGCTATCAAAGCTTGGTAAATACTTAGGACCTTCTCTTGATTGGTGCAAAGTGCTCCCAAGCCACTGATGGTGGTGAAAGTTTTCCAATCCTTTGCACGGTCAGATCTTCAGCTCTTACCATCTCAGCGTACTCCATTTGTTTGGCTTCAGAGCCTTCTTTCCCCTTCCTCCCTGCTCTCTTACCCTTAGGTTTCTCTTGGAAAGATACCTGTGGTAAGTAGCTTCTGCACTGTCTCTTTGATGGAGCCAAAACGATACTAGATCTCAAGCTGTCATTGTTTGGGTGTGCACCCCTTGGAAGACCCTGCTTTGATTTTATCTACACTGGCAAACTTAAAAGTCTGTAATTCTCTGCTGGTAAAAGCAACAGGAGGTGCTGTAGGTGAGATTTACTTTTTCACACATCATCTCTATTGGCTCCTGACAAGTGCTGAAACCTCATTGACCTCTCTACAGTGTAATTCCCACCATTACGTTCACAAGCAAAGCTGCAGTGGTCAGGATGAAAGGGATGAGTCCTTATTCCCCTGGCGAAGCTGCCTGCCTGCAGTTCCTGCTCTGCAGTGTGGCTTTGTTTCCCCTTGTGTACGCTCAGACAAGCAACGCTCATGAGCCACACAAAAATTTCGTCTGGAACCAGTGGAAGCAACCCACAGATTTGTCCAAACTAACAGAAATTTCTAGGAAAACTCACTGACCAGCTCTCCACCAAAGCGGAGCTTTCCGATGACAGAGCATGCTCGAGCTGTAATTCAGTATGAAATGTGCTCAGCTGGTGACTCAGTGTGAAGCTTCAGTCTATTTGGTTTCTAACTCCTGTTATGCTGAAATACCCACAGATTCTTTTGAAATTAATTTAGTTTGGTTTAGTGACTCGGGTGGGGTTTTTTTGTTTTTTAATTCTATCTGTTCTGCCTTTGAGAGCTACCAGGCACGGTGGACGCTGGCAGGAGTCGCACTATCACACCCCATCCCTGTCATAAATACTCTGACAGCCTCGCATCTTCCCACGCAGCATCCTTTGTCACCCGTGCACACACGGAGGAACATGAGCTCCGTGTCTTCCTCATGTGAACACATGGGTTTTTCCTTCCCGAAGAGGCTCTATCTGCAACCAACAATGATATCATTTGTCCTTTTCTCACTTAAGATTTTATCAATAATAGTACGCTGAGGTAGAATTGTTTGGTTTTCATATTTAGGGTTTTTTTCCAGAGATGGGAGTTCAGAGTCTTACCACGTGAGCTCTGTCCATATCTGTAGTATAATCATGTACTCCTAATACATAAAACATTTGCTAGCCTGTTGAATTATTTATGTGGTATGTATTTTAACTGGAGTTTTGCAGGGATGAAGCCTTCTGAGGTAAATGAGGCAATTTTCTTCCATGTAGTTACATGCTGTATATCTCTGCACATTTGCTTACAGGAGTGTTTAGTATGGGCTCTGGGTATATTCTTGTAGGCTGCAATAACGTACAGGCTTTAAGAAAAACCTTAATCCTTTTGGCCCAGTTGGTGTAAACCACACAGGCAATTTTGAAGTTCTGATGTGGTATTTACAGGGTTTTCCCTTGGGAATATTCGCTATCAGTAAGGTGTTTTTGACACTGGCTCGTGTCTCCTGTAGGCTTCCTGTGAATCAGGTATTTAGGCACAAAACGAAGGCAGCGGTGATAAAAATGCTTCAGGGATCGTAGGCAGTGGCTGACAAAACCCTTCACGTTTATGGTCACTGCTTCAAATCGAGCAAGGGAAAGTCAAGTGCCTTCTGATAAATTTCTGGGGATCACAGTAACGCGGATTATTGAAGTTGATTTTGTGAGTTCTGGTGCAGAATGCCTGCATTGCAGAAGCCACAAAAGTTGGTACTTTTGCTGATCATTTCAGTATGGAGAATCACACTTCGTACAGAGGGGGGTATTACATTTTCTCTTCCTGCTGGGTACGTGTCCAGCCGTTAACGCTGAGCACAGACTTGAGCTAATGTTGGCAGAGGGCTCGGTGCTGCCAGAGCTCGTAGCCCAAGCCCCGCAGGCAGTGTCCCAGTGTGTATTAGCCCAAGGGGAGGACAAAGCAGAACGCTGATGCTATTGCACTCTCATAAAAACGAAACAAAATGGTGATAATTGTGTCTTTGCTGCGGTCTTCTTCTCTCCTCCTAGGTGGCCTGCAGATTGAAAGCAGTGAGGAGACAGACCAGGGGAAGTACGAATGTGTCGCCAGCAACAGTGCCGGAGTGCGCTACTCCTCCCCTGCTAACCTTTACGTGAGAGGTAGGGAGCTCATCGGCTCACACCACTGGCAAATATCTCCCTCCCCGTGGCCTCTCATTGTCCCCAGCTGTTTGATTCGATCCTGTCCCTGAGCGCAGGGGAAGCACCGGTGTTAATCGGTTGGATCCTTACAGTGCGTTGCTGAGCTTGCAGGGGGATCCTGGTGCACCATAACTTCCTAGCCCTTGCTGGTGGCTCCAGCTACCACACCAGCATTGCAGAACAGCAATATGAGGCTGGGTCACCCACAGCAAAGTCAAGCGTGACCCAAAACAGTATGCCCGAGAATCTGCCAGCATCAGCCTGCAGAGCCCAGAGGGGAATGAGCAGCTTTGGCTGCAAAGAGGCCATAATCCCCTCTTCTCCCAAAGGATCCCTGCTTTCTGGAAGTGGGAAGATTTCAGTTCTACTGGTGTGGGTGTGAGAGGAGGGGAGGACCCTCTCAGCCCCCTCCACTGAGCTCTCTGTCCCCTGGATCGCACCAGATTGCAACAGGAGGGTGCGTTCTCACTTCTCGCCTAAGTCCCAGCTGGTTCTCCCTTTGCCAGCAGTAATTTGTCACTGGTTCCTTGGGCATGAACGCTGGCCGTGGGCACAGACTCATGGAAAGCTGGCGATGGCCTGCAGACGTCTCTGCGACAGTGACAGATTCCTTCACCCATGTAGCACAGGGAACAGATGACAGGGGGATTGGCTTCTGCTTGATGCCCCCTCGATGTTCTCATACCCAGTGGGGCAATAGCCTTTCTGCTTTCTTTGTTGTTTTATTTTAATCTCTCTGACCTATAATATTTTGTGTGTAGCTTTGGTTTAATATCTTTCCACAGCAAAACCCTTTTGGTAATGAGAGAGCAGGGCTGGTCCTTCTCGCTTTTTTAAAAAAAGAAAATTACCATTGGGAGGAAAAAAGAAAAGTTACATCCCAGCAAACTGTTCCCATTTCCATCCCATCGACAGAGGAAGCGCCTCCCACCTACACTCACGTTAACTCTGCAGTCAAATGCAGAGCCATGCTCCTGTGTGCACTCCTTTCTCTCTCTCTTTCTCTCTCTCTCGTGTCTCACGCTCACTAAATCACATGCACATGGAGAGAAGGCTTTTAATAATTTAATGTTTCCAAGCTAAATTTTTAAATAGCCTTTTGTGGCCAACTGGAAAATTGCGTTTGAAATTTGCCCTGTCGCCTGGGCCCCGAAATTCTTCTTTTGGGAACGTAAATCTGGATCCGCTACTAATTCAAGGCTAAATCCTTTGCAGACAGCTTAGCTGGAATGTTTTGGGTTCTTTTTTTTTTTTTTTTTTTTTTGAAAAAAAAAACAACAACAAAAACCAACAGGAGAAAATGTGGGGCTTTTTTCATTATTCTTTTATTTATAAATTTCCTCTACCTTTTTGGCCACTCGGAAACTCCCAGGAGACAAAGGTTGTAAGCATGGAGTTGCTTGTCTCCGCACCTGGATAAGAGTCGGCTCCAGGTGGGGCTAGCCCTTTCTGACCAAGTTAGCCCGTGTGTACCTGAGGCCTGCCTGAAAACCAAAGCCAGCATTAGCCGGCCAAGAGAGTGCAGAAAACACCGTGTAAGCAAGCTTGGCCTGTGGTTTGGGTGTTTTTCATGCTGTTTAATTCCTTGTTTCTTGTGTGTTAATATCGTGGAAAGGTAACAAATTTCTGAAATGGATTTGCTTTGGTGGGAGGGAGAGTTCATGCACATTTTTCTTCCCGTTTTTTGTTTTAAAAGAGTCTTGAACACTCTTGTGTTTCCAATTGACTTGTTTCTCCCATAACATGCTTGTCTCTATAGAACACCCGGGATAGGAGTTGTAAGTTTTAACGTTGCAAGGAAATGTTTTGGTTTTGTTTTGCTTTTCTTTTCTTCTTCTAATTATTTCTTTTTCCTTATTCAGTCCCATTGTGGAGTTAGCGGAAGCAGGGCCGGGTGTGGGGGCTGGTGGGAGCACGGGCTGGGGGAGCGGATTTCCAGCTCGGGATCTCCTTTGTATCGGGTCTTCTCTGCCTGGTACAGATTCCGCTCCCCCTTCTCTAAAGAGCAGATGGACTTAAAGAAGTGAGAACTCCTTTCTGGGGTTGGCACCTCTGTCAGGTGCTGATTCTGAATTAGGATTGCTCACAGTCTGACCTCTGTACAGAGCGTGGTTGTTCTTAAACAAAAGGTACCTAGCTGGATGGGAGGGGGAAAGTTAGGAAGGTAGGAAGGAGGGTCGTTACTATCTTCCTTTTTTATTCCTTTCTTTTTATTTTGGTTAAGAGAAAAAAAAAAACAATCAATTTGCAGCTGACAGCCTTGAGAAGGCCTTTTTTTACTCTCTCTGTGTTTCCCCTATTTTTCTCTTCTCCTCATGTCATTGTGTTCCGCATCAAACCCCCTTAACATCCCTCAGAGCTACGAGAAGGTTGGTGTGGTTTTTTTCTTTTTTACTTTCTTTACCCACATTTTTACATTCTTAAGAGAAAAAAAATAAAAAAATAAAAAATGGAAAAAAAAAAAAAAAAGAGAAAAAGCAAGAAATCTTTAAGATGAGCGAGACCCGCCCGTTCCCGGGTCTCGCAGAGATGAGTTGAGTTGCATTGTGGGCCTCTCTATGCATCCTTTGGTAATGTTGCTGAGTTCTTGCACTTTTTTGTCGTCATGGTTACCTTGCCGTTTGGACATTGGGCCTGATGCATGATAGGAGAATGTAACAATCTTCTTTGCATGCCACTTTTTAAATTAATTATGACTTATTTTTTCTGTATATAAATATGTATAGTTTTTTGGGTTTTTTTTACAATTCTGGTTTATTTGAAGTGGATTTACTCTTACTTTCTAAATCTTTTGTTCTGTTGGGTTTTTTGCTTTCTCTTGATTTCCTATTTCAGTTTTGATTGGTTATGCTGTGCTGTAGTTTATTCCAAACGCATTGTGAGAAGCCAGTGTTCCTGCCCACCCGGTGGTAACTGAACTCCTCAATCCCTTCAGGAGGAAAGGAGTCACACAGCTCTAACGCCTGTCCGTGGAAGCCCTGCTATTTGGGACAAGCCTTTGTTTTGGGGAGGAGGGAGGGATCTGGGAAGTGGAAAAGATGGTAAGAGGCCAGGGTGTCGTTCCAAGAGTTAGAGCAGACCCTGGGTCCCCTTATTACTTACATATTTCTTGGAGGTGTGGCTCTTGTTCCACATCCTGCACACAAAGAAAAACCCTGATCCCTGCTCTGAAGGGCTTCCCCAGCGATGCAGGACTTGCTCACTGGTAACTGGCCATTCCCCTCCAGTAACACCTAAGACACTGCGTGCGGGAGCTTTTCGGCTGTCGGCCCGGGATGGGTAGAGGCAGAAAGCTTCCTGCTGGGTTACTGAACCACCTTCAGCACCCCTGTGTGCCTGGAAAGCCCCGACATCAGACAGTGCCTCGTCTCAGCAGCAGAGCTCGGCAGATTCCCTTGTAGGAGGGGGATGCCTCGTCCTTGCAGTGTCGGAAGCAAAGGGCAGCCAGCCGGCCGCCTTCTGCAGAAGGAAAGCTGGATCTCATGGCTCTGCCTCTCCACATTTACCCTCTCTTCCCTAGCATTTAACTTATTGCCTGGCTACAGGCACCTTTGAAAACCAGCCAGGTCCAGAGAAGGTAGAGCCCTCCTTTCTAAAGGAGCGTGGAAAGAGAAATTCAGCAGTGGTGGACAGTAAGAGAGGCTGCTGGGACACATCTGGCAGCTGCATCTCTATTGTAAACAGCAACAAGAAATCTGACAAGTTACGTTCTAGCTGAAAATGCCTCTTTTCCCTCTTCTCATCTCCCTGTTTATGCCCATTAAGCTTCTGTTGCCTCCTATGTGTGCATCCTGAGTGGGTGAGCCACATGGGATAGTAAACAGGTGGGGGTTTTGCAGTGTGTTCGTTGTACCATTGGTGCTTGGTGCTTTTGCCCTTTGCAGAATGGAATGCCCTTCCTTTCCCTATTTATGCATTTCCCTCTGCCCATCAGTCCTCACGACTCAATAATCTACCAAAGGAGTGGCTTTCCTAGTGTACAGGTATTAAAGCTGTGTGATTTTTGAGAAATCCAGTGCAGTATTGACACAGTATCTGTCTCTCTCTTTCTCTATCTCTCTCTTTCTCTCTGTCTGTCTTTCTCTTTTTCTTAAAATGCTGAGATTTCAGTGCTCGGACCCTCAGTGCTGGTATTCTCCCCTCCCCCTTTCAAGTCTCTCCCCCTCTCCCCTTAGATACAAGGGTACCACTCCGAAATGCTGCACTGTTGATAATGTCTTGCTGAAGCGGCCAGCTGTGGCTCTTCTAACTTTGATGCCAAAAATAGCCAAAAGACATCCCCCAGCCCCAATGCTGTATTTAAAGAAAATGGGGAAGGAAAAAAAAAAAGGGGGGGAGAAAAAAAGGCTTGTTCTATTTAAAAAGAGCAAGAGAGAAGGAATAGTGTTTGAAATGAGGTGTTCCCATCCCACCTCCCTCCTGCCTAGGACTAAAAGGTGATAATCACTACTAATTACAGGATTTTCCTTCATGAATAGGAGTTTGAGTTTCAGGGTTTAGGTGCAATTAAAAAGGGATTTATACACCATTGGTTTTTATTTGTTTATTTTATCTTTTATAAAGTATTTCTAACATGTCCAAACTGCACTGCTGCTGCTAGAATCTCTTGTGATCTGACAAGGTTTTAAGATTAAATTCTTCCCTAAGAGCCAATAAAAATAATAATAATATCAATAACAATAAACTAAAGCTAAATTGGATGCAGTCACGATAGGCTGGAGTAACACTGGGCGAGGAAATAGAGATTTGATACCTGGCTAAAAGAGCTCAGATGGTTTTCTAGAAGTTACGGGCATGGTCTTGAAATTGTTGGTTAAGGGTTTGCCTTGTGTATTACTACAGATCAGATCATGCCATGGTCCAAAATAACAGAGAGTCTGCTAACAGGGAATTTCCAAGGTCAAATGCAGAGGTATCTTTATGGAGACCCACAAAAGCAGATCAGAAGTAGGTGAGAT